TTGTCTTCAGTGTTATTTCTTGTTTTTCAGAGTTGGATAATCGTTTGATGGCTTTCCATATGGTTTGGTCCGTGACTTTCAAGTTTTCGATAAAGTGGTCCCAGCTGGTGTTATCGTGCCCTCTTGTAAGTTTCTGTGATTCTCTCCGGGCCGTCACTTAGGCTGATTTATCTCGGGGGTCGCAGGTATTTTTCTTTTTTTTTCTTAGTCTGTTGGTGGATCGTATTTTTTCTTTAATGTGAGGTGGAAATCTTCGTTCTAGTTCCGGGTCCTTATATTTTGTAGAATCTTTCAAATTTTGCACCATTTGTTCTTCAATGTGTGTAATGGCCTCGTCTATTTTTGAAGATGTGTCTAGGATCAGTTCAGGAGGTTCAGCGATTTCCATTTTGTACTTGAAAAAGGCCCAATCTGTAATTTTGATTTTTGTATTTGAGTAGGAGATTTTGAAATCCTGTAGCATAAGTAGTGTGTACTGGGAGATGATCAGAGGTTAGTTCGTGCAGGACTTTAGAGTATGCGCTTTGGGAGATGTTTTTGTGCACGGCGATATCAATGATATCTGGAGGTGAGTCATGAGTAGGTTCGTCGGGGTAGCTCACATCTAGGTCCATAATGTTGATTGCGTTTTGGAAGCCTTCTCCCGCTTGGGTTAGTGGTGGTGGAACCCCAGGCAGGATGTTTGCAGTTTAGGTCCCCTGGTATGATGATAGGTGTGTCCGTTGAAAAAATGTTATAGATATCGGTTTGATCTAGATAGGTGTTTGGTGGTTTATAGCACGAATACAGGTTCATATTTAACCCGTTTTTGTTTTTGATTGAAATTCCTGTTGTTTCCAGGCTTGAGGTGGTGGCATGAATAGGTGCATGGCTGTACTTCTTGTGGATGAATATGTCAGTTCTACCACCTTGTCCGGTTAGTCTGTCGTTGCGGTGTGTGATGAAGTTTTGAATCCTCATTTTATGGCACGGCTTAAGCCATGTTTCTGACACTAGTGCGATGTCGATGTCGTGGTCGTTCAGGAATTCTGAGAATTGTTGTTTTTTGTTTCGGAGACTACACAGGTTCCAGTGAACGATTCGAAGGCTATTTTTATACATATTTTTGTGATTCATTTACATCTAAAGGTGTCTACAACGTTCTTCATGATGTTGGCTATTATTGCGGGGTCACTGAGAGCCTTTTTGATAGCGCTCTCTAGTTGATTGACCTTAGTGGCTGAAGGAGGATTGGGACGTTCTTTATTAACATGTGGAGTTTTGTTCTTGTTTTGAATGGGTTGGGGAATTTCAGAAGGGTTTGGACCTGTAGGGTTGGATTTTTCTTTTTCTGTATTGAGGTTTGGTTTCTGATTATTTTGAGTTTGGGGCACTCTATTTATCTTTCTGTATAGTGGGCAACCACGCCAACTTGCTGTATGCTGACCCTGGCAGTTTGCACATTTAGGTGGGACTTCTTTTTCTTTGGTGCATTCAGATGTGAAATGATTTTCTCCACATTTTACACATTTGGGAGTTTCCCTGCATTCAAACTGAGAGTGCCCAAAGTTTTGGCACCTATGACATTGTCCAGGGCCTTTGGGAGCCCTGTAAGCCTCGACTTTGCACTTCATGTCGCAGAGATCTGTGATATTGTAAATTTCTTTATTCCTTGCAGTCTTAGGAAGGGTTACCTGGATTAGTGGGAGCTCCTCCTTTGTTCTTGAATTTCGTAGTCTTGCAATTTTGGACATCTCAAATCCCTTGTTTTCCAGATCCTCTTGTATTTCGGAGATGGTGATGCAGCCGTCGAGACCTCTGACGACCACTCTAAGGCACTTTTCATCGTCTAGGATCTTGAAGTGGAAGGTGTAGTGGCGATCTTCCAACCACTTGGTAGCTGTCCGGTAGTCTGATGTTGTGTGAGTCTGAACGTTGATATATCGGCCTGATGTGTAAAATTCTGGCTTTTGTTTTGTACACTTGACAAGACCATCTCTAAGGCCTGACCATTCCTTTACTCCGCTTATTTTAATTGGTGGCATTCTGATCTTGGGGTTAGGGGTGGGGTTGTTAGGTTTGTTATTCGATGTTTCGTTAGGTTTCTTTGATGGCTTCGAGTTTTTATGGTTTTGTTCATGATTTGGCATTTTGTTTGGTGTCACTTCGATTTCCATTTCGACTGTTTCTGCTTCATGAGGTTTTTCAGGCTGTTTCTTTTGTAATTTTGGTTCAGGATTACCTTGTGACCTTTGGTTGGAGCACCAGGTTGTTTTTTGCGTTGTTGTTTCTTTTGCGGCTACTGGTGATTTTTCTCTTGGGCGCTTCGCGGGAGCTTTTGTAGTATCGTGTTCTAGATAGTTTGAGCGCAGTTCGCACAGTTCCCTTTCGTAAAAGTCAATAAAATTTATTAGCTCGGCAAAGGTGGCTTCGACCGCGCCGCTGTATTTTTTCGAAGCTTGAGAATCTTCTTCATTTTTAATTCTGGGCATTCTGGCAGTTTCCAAATTGAATATTTACGGGTACCTACCGGGTATTTGGGGTTGGTAAAATTAGTGTTGGGGAATTCTGGTGCAGGGAGGTCTTCCATGGTTCGGGTTTTTCGCGTGGGACTCGAATTTCATTCAAAAAACTAAAAAGGTTAACGCGCTTTTTTTAAAAATGTAAAACCAAAAAGCGTTAGTTCCAGCCTTTTACCGCTTGACCGACGATAAATGAATATGATTGGTTAATAATTTTTCACGTAGTTTGGTTACACGATGAATGTTAGCTTGTTTACACAATGTTTTTAAAAGGTCAGATTATCCAATCGCCGTGAAACTTTAGGAAGTTATTTACTATTCTACTGGGAAGGTTTCTGGTTTGAATTTGATTTGAAATGAATATTCGTTGCGATTTTATTTGAAAATTTTCTACTTTCACTCGCAAGCAGCGCCTCTCGCCGCTTCTGGTGAAATTACATTTATAAATTGTAAAAATGCGAAAATGTGTTCCAACTATAATAAATTTAATATTTAATTTGAGGATTTAGTGATATAATATACCAATGATGTTGTAAAAAAAACTTGGCATATCAATGTTAATATATATTTAAAGAAAATATCTTATTTAAAATTTAATAAATGTTTAAAAAAATATGTGATTCAAAAATATATTTAAACGCATATAACAATATTTATATGCGTTTATAAATCTATATATAGGTGGATTGGATGTTTCCTAAAATCGTTTTAACAAATGTTCGTTAGGCAAACTTTTTCTTGGATAAAAACCGGGCGAAGCCGGGTATATTCGCTAAATACATATATTTACAAATGTTCGTTTGTGCCAAGATACTATTCCTTCAACTTCAAATTACCGAGTGGACGAATTAATATTGATTTTATTCAAATTATCGAGTATTTTTCAAGGGACCGGGAAAAAATTAAAATTATTGAGAGTATAGACAAGTATAGATTCAGTAGGGATTGGATGTTTGCTAGAATCGTTTTAACAAATGTTCGTTAGGCAAACTTTTACTCAGGTTAAAACCGGGCGAAGCCGGAAATATATATATATGTTTGTCGGCTATGTACGCCCTCAATATGTAACTAATCTCGCTGAAATTTGAACAGGACAGAGAGCTAAATCTGGAAGATTTTTCTGTAGCACTTTTAACCAAGAAAAATTATAATTAACCAAGTACTGAGCAACAATAGTATTTTAGTCAGAAATTATGATAACAATATTGCTGTATCATGCTTGATTGACATAAACAAAATTCTTGAGGGGAATATTCACTAAAGCAGACCACAGGCGAAGCCAGATAATAATTTTTAGCAGGCAGGAACAAAATTATACCAGCGAAACATTCACTCGAGCAGAAGACACACGAAGCCAGGTCATTTCTATATATAAAATATCGTTTCTCGGTCTTTTGGCTAATATCATTGTTAAAAATAGATCATTTACATAATGTTATTTTCATAGGATCATTTGCATAAAATCATCCGAAGATCACGTGACAGAGAACCAATCGGGTGAGACTTGGTATGGTATAAAAGGCACGGCAGGATGGCCGGTGTAGAGAGAGTGTGTGTGGAGATTAGGAGAGAAAAGGGCATAGTAGCACAGAGGTTTAGTGGTGTAAGAAGTTTGGAGTGCCTGAGCCTAGGAGTTGAGCAATTCAAGTGATCTAGCGAGTAACTCAAGTGAAAAAGCTGAAGTTGAGAAAAAGTCTGCTGAGGAAGAACTTGAGGAAGGTGAAGAGGCTAAAGCAAGCTTACCATAATAGTTCGGGATTGTTTAGATCGAAATCAGTTCATTTTTTGTTACCATTGTAGAATAAAGCCTCATATGTTAAAATCATTAAATCCTGTTGATCATTTCCTCCAGAATATCACCTGCCTATCGCTACAGTAATTTCAATAGTTAGAGACAAGGATTATTTAAATTATTCATTTTCCTATTATTTATTTATTTATTTATGCTTATGAGGTGATACAGCAGCGTATTTACAATTAGAGAGGAGACAAAATGAATTATTTAAGTTCTAATCTATTTCTTTTTATTCCCAACAATCATGTAGTATATATGGTGGACGAGTGGGTAACACCCTCGATTCCTGACAGTCATGAACCGGGATTGAATCCCACGTTGAAATTTTGTTTAATATGTGAATAACCTTCACATATTTTTCACTGTTTCAATTATCATGAACTAGGTTGCTCTTGTTGAGCAGTACCTATTAATGTGATTTTGAACCGGATGTAGTATATATCTAGGCATTTTTATTTATATTCATCTTTTTAAAAATCTATTCAGAAGAGATAGTGGATATGCTTGCTCGAGAAATATATTTTATATATTATATAAATATATATTGTAACAAATATTATTATTATCATAATATTCTATGTGTTCCGGAATATTATCATCAATAATATTCGTTAGTCAAACTTTCACTCGGATAAAACCCGGGCGAAGCCGGATACACATCCGCTAGTATTACAATATGATTGAAAATTATTATTTTCAAAAATTATCAGAGCGTGGTTTCAATCCATGGACTTCTGGGTTATGAACCCAGTACGCTTCCACTGCACCAGTTTGCCCTTTCTCGTTTCTGCATTTTTAATATCTCCAATATAAAACATGAAAGGTGCTACGGGCCGTTCTACAGTTATAGGGCAACAAGAGAGAAATTATATAACCCGGGAGTGCCGAGTACCTGGGTTGAGATTATGAGGCAATAAGTGAGGTTCAACATACATAAACACAATTAATTAATTTGTGTACAAGTACAGTAGAACCTCCCTTTAGCGGATACCTCTCCATGAAGGACAGTTTTCATTTACAAAATTATCATTTTTACAATTTAGTAACTCTCCGGTAAGAGGACACCTCTCCCTAAAGGACACATTGGCTCTGAAATTAGGTGTCCTTTACAGGGAGGTTCTACTGTATATGTATATTTCAAGAATTCAAGTAAAATAAAGATCCCAGGCCATTAAAAACATAGTATTCACATAGTTTATTCTGTAAATGTAATCACACTTGTTATATACGCATATAGACAAAAAGATTTAACTTTCGCATAGTAGAAGCATGATCTAAATGAATTAATATTTATTATCACCTTTTTCCATTATTAAAAATATATATATATATCATCCTGGGAAGAAATTTTAATGGCCCGAGGAACGTCCAATTGCACCATCCAATTTTATCTTTCTTATGCATGCCTTTTTTTCTGTAAGAATTTTATGTTGGCCTAGGCAATTTTTTTTAATAGTAAAAAGTAGCTTTTAAATAATTCATCAGAATTATTTATTAAATAATTTTAAAATCAATCTACAAATTGGTTCTATAATTCCTGAGAATTGTTAATTAATTATTTTTTTCCAAATTAGGATATATTGATTTAAATAATTCTCTCATGAATTATTTAATTAATATGTAATGGTAAAATAATTTTTAGACTTTATTTCAGTATATATATATATATATATATACAGTAGAACCCCGCTAATACGAACCCTGGATATAGCGAACCTTCCCTTATAACGAACCCACGGCGATTCCCAATTCCATTCCATTGAAAATACCATCGTTATAACGAACTTTGAGATTTTTAGAATAACGAACTACCCCTATAACGAACCTATTTCGGGTCCCAAAATGATAAAATCTATTAAAAATACTATGCCTTTAACGAACTTTGAATTGTAATTAAAAAAAAAATAAAACAACAAAATTTTGAGCATGTTTCAGCTCGCGCGGATCGCGATTTCATAACAATAAATTTAGCGGCATTGTTTGTTTTGATTTTTGCACTTTATTTTTGCTGTATGTTGTATAAGTTTTTACACATTATACTTTTTATTAAATAGAATATCTTTGCATCCATTAAATTTGAAATATAAAAAATGCAAATGGCTTCCAAAATGAAGAAAACAAAGGCATTTTAAAAACAAAAGCGTTATTTCTATAAAAAAAAAAAGGCCATTTTCAGAACTTTTCAAAGTGAAACAACATAGGCAAAATGTTAAGAACATCTTAAAATAAGAGAATATAACTCTTCTATTATAAAATATAAAATATAAAGTTATTAAAAATTGTTACAAAGAGGAATTAACCTCAACTTTTGCTGCGATCGTACGTTTTAGGGCTAAAAAAAAAAGTCTAAATAAACGGTCCAGAGATGAAATAAACATTATTTTTATGCCATTTACTATGGTGATTTTAAAGTCAGCAATGTTTTGCATGACAGGTTAAAAAAAAACGAAATCTAGACCTAGAAGAATATGTGGAAACATGAAATGGAAGAAAAACACTAACTTTATTTGAATGGTGCAATGTTTGGAAGAATGCTTTGAAACAACAAGGTATTAGAGCCATTTTTTCAAGTAAAAATTGTATTATATAATGTGATAATGATGTTTAAAATCATTTCATATCTTTGAATATATATTTAATAAAACTTTGCCTAGGATTTGTCTTGATTTTTAACTTAGACATAGAGGTACATGTATGCTAATGATAAGAAGAACCTATCATCTAATGATTTATATTATTATTCAGTATTAATGTAAGGAAATAGGTCAATTAAGGGAATTAAAACAAAGTGACCACTATTAAGAGGCAGCCTCTTCTTGTGTGTATGGCTGTTTTTTAATTATACGGTCTGAAAATTTTGAAAAGTAAAAAAATAGCCAAACCGTGGCTATAGTGAACGAAAAACTATGTCCCATTGGGGTTCACTATAGAGGGATTTTGTAAGAGAATCAGAGGCTGGATCTCAGAAAGTATTGTTTAATTAACAATAATATTATATTAAAATGACAAGGAACAAAGAGAGTCAAAAAAGGCAAGCGCAGTAGCAGACAACAAAAGCAAACTAAAAATTCTACAGGTACAGTTGGTCGGAGTGGCGCCAGGTCACGTGATGTCTGGTAGGAAGGTGTCGTTGCTAGGCAACAGCTGATGTGCGAAGTTACTCTCCAACACTCCCACCTAACAAGCACTTTGTTGTTTCAAACAGTCCAAGTTGGCTTCTTAGTCTTATATACCTTTCTGGAGGTAGAGCTTTCGTAAATATGTCTGCAGCTTGATCATTGGAGCAGACATAAAGAAGGTCAATTGCATGTTTTTGAAAATGATCTCTGATAAAGTGATACGAAATATCAATATGTTTAGTTCTTTTGTGGTTTTCTGGGTTGTGAACAAGTCTTATGCAGCTTTGATTGTCGCAAAAAATTGTTGTAGGCTTTACTTGTTCTTGATGTAGCTCGCGTAGAAGTTGTCTCAGCCAAATTACTTCTTTCGTTGCTTTGGAAGCCGCAATATATTCAGATTCTGTTGTTGACAGAGACACACAATTCTGTTTTTGACTGCACCAAGAAATAGGTCCATTATTCAACGTGAACACATATCCTGTGGTTGATTTTCTTGTGTCTAGGTCTCCAGCAAAATCAGTCCCACCAAAACAAATACCGATGTTTTTCGTAGCTTTTAAGTATCCAAATATTTTCTTTACTGCGGTCCAATGTGAAGGTCCTGGGTTGTTCATAAATTGGCTAACCATGCTGACTGCGTAGGCAATATCAGGTCTAGTTCCAGTCATGAGGTACATTAAACTACCAATTGTCTGTCTGTATGGAATCTTGTTCATTTCTTCAATTTCCTGATTATCCTTTGGGCACATCTCTTTTGTTAGTTTTGAGTAAGGATCAGAAGGTACAGATTGTAACTTAATTTCAAGAAGGTTGTAATGTTCAAGTGTTCTTTCAATGTATGAGGCTTGATGTAGAAATAACATTTTAGTTGTTCTATCTCGATATATTTGTAGGCCAAGGAAATAATCGGCAGTAAAAGTTTTTATTTCAAAATTGGAATTTAAGTACTTTACTATATCATCTAAATGTTGTTTATTTACACTGCAGATTAAGCAATCATCTACATATATTGCAAGTAATATGTAAGCCTGTTTACATTTCATTGTATAGACACATGAATCTGATATGCTAGGTTTGAGATCAAACTTAATTAAAAACTCATGAAATTTCTTGTTCCACATTCTGGGGGATTGCTTAAGACCATAGATGCTTTTCTGAAGAGAGCAAGCATGATTTGGAAAATCTGGGTTTTCATAACCTTGGGGTTGTTCCATGTAAAGTTCTTCTTCCAAATCACCATTCAAGAAGGCAAATTTTACATCTAATTGAATCATTTCCATATCAAGTGATGCACAAAGTGATAAGATTGTTCTAATTTAATCGAATTTTACTACTGGAGAAAAAGTTTCACCATAATCAAGTCCTGATTTTTGTGAATAACCTTTCGCAACTAGTCTAGCCTTAAACATTTTATTTGATCCATCTGCATTTTGCTTTATTTTGTATACCCACTTGCATGCAATAGCTTTTCTGTCTGATGGTAGGGTCACATAAGTCCATGTTTGATTTTTCATCAAGGAATTGAATTCATCGTCCATAGCTAGTTTCCACTTTTTTGAGTTTTGTCCTACAATTGCATCTTCATAGTTCAATGCTTCTTGGTCATGGACATAACAAGCATATGAAATAGCTCTTGTACAGTTGGTTGATGATTGTTCCTTTTCTCTGATTCTATTCCTGAGAGGGTATCGACATGATTCTTCTGGTTTGGAACTGGTATTTGTGCTATCAACACTTTCTTCACTATATATAGTTACCTGCTCTTGTTGGTTATCCTGAATATTTTCTGATGTATTAGCTTCAGTAAATATTACATCTCTGCTTATGATAATTTTTTTCTAGCAATAGGATCCCACATTCTATAATTTTTGTTAGCTTCAGTATATCCAACAAAAAATGTACGAATACTCTTTTTGTCTAATTTCTTTCTGTTATCATTTGGTATATGCACATAAGCGTTACATCCAAAAGTTTTCAAATGTAAGATGGAGGGTTTTCTCTTGTACCATATTTCATAAGGTGTAGAATTTCCCAATACTTTAGTAGCACATCTATTTAAGAGATAGACTGCTGTGTTTACGGCTTCAGCTCACAGTTCAAGCGGCATTTTTCTTCCATGTAACAAGCATCTAGCTGATTCAACTATTGTTCTGTTATCTCTTTCAGAAATTCCATTCTGTTCTGGGGTATATGGAGCAGTGAGTTCATGAACAATTCCTAGAGATTTTAGATAATCAGAAAAATTCTTATTTAAGAATTCTGTGCCATTATCTTTTCTGAATCTTTTTATTTTATTTCCAGTTTCAGTCCTAACTATTTTTACAAATTCTTTAAATTTCTCAAGTACATCTGATTTATGCCTAATGAAGTAGGCCACTCTAAATCTTGAAAAATCATCCTTGAATGATACAAAATATAATACCAGGCATATACCTCCCTAATTTTGGAACGGTCCACCTTTTGATGTATGCCGACGACATAATTCTCATAGGAGAATCAAAAATCAATCTACAAATAAAAATCAACATATTGAAAAAATACTTCGAAACAAATCATCTAACCCTGAACGAATCAAAATCCAAGATAATGGTTTTCCGAAATGGTGGCCGCCCTGCAAAATCGGACAAATGGTTCTGGGAGACCAACTGTTGACAGTG